TTGGAAACTTAATGCACATTCCCAGAACTATACCAGAACTGCTTTATAATAAGCAGAACTGTTAAAAATTGACTGGCGTCTCCCTTCGACATCTATAGATACAGGTATCCAATTATTTTAATTTTGGTTTAATTAATATTTTTTGCTTTTAGAATGTAGAACTCTTCTTAGAACTCATGTAGAACTATAGATCTTTTCATTTCTGATTATTTCTGATACGGAAAATGTCGTAGGACAAAGTGAGACGCTGCGTGAAGTTGGCGTCTCACTTTGCACTAAGTAATTTTTTCGCTTTAACGAGCAGAACTATGTGTTTTACCTATCAGGAACTCTAGAACTATTAAAAAGGAAGTCAGAACTCTCAAAATATGAGTTTCCGCAAAATGATACGCCAACTTCACACACACCAATTATTATGTACACTTATAATTCGAAAATATCCAATATCTTAACTAATTGCAAGATAAATATTTTATTCCAATGAAAGATTGATATAGCGCAATTCAATGCACGATGTCTATGATTTTCAATCGAGTTTGGCAGATGATTGAGTACATCATTGAGTACAAATAACGGGGATGAGTAACGAAAATGATGGCGCACGGAATTCGAAATGAATTATTAATAGAGAGAGGCCGAGGGAACGCAGAAGACGTCATCGGTCAATCGATTTTACGCGCGCACATGCGTAAGAATTTTTTCTGAAATCATCGCGCGTCTTTTGATCTCTCTGGATCGAGAAACGATGAATTCTTTCATTTTTTCATCATTCTATTATAGAGATATATTATTGAAATATTATTTATTTAAATATATCAATTATTTATTATTGAAATATGATTATTGGTAGCATTTTTCGATTGACTGTAGGTTTTTCCCAAGCAGAAAAAAAAATCGAGGTTCTATTGGATTCGATCCTGGGACCTCGCGTAGGATTCCTAAAAATATTTTCTAAATAAAATCTACAGTATATATTAATAACACAGTATATAAAAAGATATTTTGCGATCGCTCGCCACTTGTTTTCGTAATGTTTGTATTTCCGCACGTTTGTGTTTCTATTTTTGTACTTGTCACGGGTGATATTTTCGTATCCCGTAAAAAAAAAAAGCACGAGTAACGCTGAAAATTTCTACAATATATACAGACTGACTATTCAACATGACGTATATCGTGACGTCAGTTCAATCAATCAGTTTGTTCTCCAAACGCAATGTCATCTCGCTCGATGATCATGAAAAGTCGATAAGTTCGAAAATTCAAGTTCGACGATTTCAATTATTTCATGTTGAGCAATTTTGATGAAAAATTCAATTTTTCAAATTCAACAGTATCATTTAAAAAATTTCAATTATTCAAGTATTTAAGTTCGACAATTTCAATTGATAAATTTCTATTATTTCAAGTCAAATAATTTCGATTAAAAATTCAATTGTTCAAGTTCGAAATATCCATTGTTCAAATTCAACAGTTTCATTTTAAAAATTTCAATTATTCAAGTATTTAAATTCGGCCATTTCAATTGAGAAATTTCTATTATTTCAAGTCGAGCAATTTCAATTCAAAATTTAATTGTTCAAATTCGAAAATTCAATTCAAAGTTCACATTCAACAGTTTCATTAAAAAATTTCAATTATTCAAGTTCAACAATTCAATTATTCAATTTAATTCAATTATATTTAAATTAAGTGTTCATTAGAGATGGAAGAAAAGTAGTCAAATGGTGCATAAAAATAATAATTATATTTTGAAAAAAAGAAGAAAAAGATGTGATAGAAAATTTAATTTTTTTTAGATAACCGCAGTTTGATTAATGCAATTTTTAAATATTTAATAGAGATGAAAATATACATATACATGAAAAGTCGATATGTCGTCGTCGCGGCCGTCGCGGAGATTTCACGAGAAAGGAAGCAAAAAGAACATATGTGTGCTCCTCTCCACGCGAGCAAGGTGCGTGGAAAGAAGCAGGGGTAAAAGAAGGAGAGAGGCAGAAGAAACGCGCGGGCGAAGAAGGAACATTCGCCTGCGGCTAGCAACCGAAAAGGCAAAACTCCTGGCGAACACGAACTGGTTTTTTCGGGGATATCGCGGTTACCTGTCGTTGGCGAAAACGACGACGAAGACGACAACACAGGCAGTGGTGGTGCAGCTAATTTTTTTTCTCTTTCGAGAGAGAAGAGAAAAAATTATTTTTTTCCCAAAAGTGTTATACGAAGAAAATGCGCGACAGCGAAACAGCATTTGCCGACGAAAATTATAACTGTACAGTCACTATAAGAGGATGAGTTTGCTTAAATCTCAGCGGATATTAATCTTTTAGATTTTGCTACAGAGAGAAAGATTTATTATAAATGATAATAAAATATAAAAACTAAGAACTATAAAAATATAAAATATATTCATAATATAATTTAAAATATAAATATATATTTATATACATTAAAAATTACCCTTTTATACTTTATGTTACAAATTTTAAGTGATAATTCTTTTTAGCTGAAATGTCACATAACACAAAATATGTATCTGCTGATGCAAAAAAAACAAGTTGAACAAGCTCAATTCAAAACTTTCAATTATTCAAGAATTCAAGTTCGACAATTTTAATTATTTCAAGCAGAGCAATTTCGATTAAACATTCAATTATTCAAGTTCAAAAATTCAATTGTTCAAATTTTACAATTTCATTTAAAAAATTTCAATTATTAAATATTTAAGTTCGATGATTTCAATTATTTCAAGTCGAGCAATTTCGATTCAAAATTCAATTGTTCAAGTTCGAAAATTCAATTGTTCATATTCAACAGTTTCATTAAAAAATTTCAATTATTTAAGTTCAACAATTCAATTACTCAGTTCAATTATATTTAAATTGTGTTCGTTAGAGATAGAAGAAGAGTAGTCGAATATGGTTTAAGAGAATAATTATTCTTTGAAAAAAAGAAGAAAAATATATGCAATAAAAAAATTCCATTTTTTCTTAAGATGACAGCAGTGAGATTAAAGTAATTTTTTCAATATTTAATAGAAATGAAGATATATGCGGATAAAGCATTTAATGAATAATTTAATGCAAGAAGGTGATAAATACATGACCAGCATTTATTGCAAAAAAAATCACATTAGTGATGAAATAACGAAACCGCTTAAGGCGAAAAATGAAGATGTCGATAGATATAAGATATAATAGATATATATGAATGAACAGGTGCATGATCCTGCACAAGAGAGAGGGTAGTAAAATACCTCGAAGGAAATTCTTGCTATTAGCCATCTGAAACCAGTCGAGTTTAATAATCTCGATCGACATAAGGAACTTCCGTAATTCTTAACTCTCGTGATATGTAACCACGTGAACATACGGAAAAAAAGATAACGACAAGAAAATGTTTATTTAATAGAGACACAAAAATAAAAGGTCACCCTAATCTCGAACTAAGCGATAACAGAATTTGTCTGATTTGTCAGAATCTGTCATTTGCGCGATGAGATTAATTATGAATTAACAAAAGTATCTGACATCCTGACGGATGAGAGACAAAAGAACCTTGAAATTCGATAATTCTTAGTTTGACTTCTCTTATCAAGGATACGATTACAAATGAATCACGTTCTTCTACTGTTCGTTTGGAAGAAATATTCAGTCTTGAATTATATGTTCGTGAACAAAAAATATTAAGTTCTGAATATTTTTATGTCAAACACTATTTTTTTAAATAATTACTCAACAATTCAATTGTTCAATAATTCAAGTCGAAAAATTTCAATTAAAAAAAATTTTAATTATTTAATTACACTTTTCTATGCGGAAAAAATAATAGAAAAAAGGGATCACTCAAAATAATAAAAAAAAAACAAATCTAACTTTATAAATATAAACTTCAAATTCAATTTTTAAAACATTGAAATTCATCACAAACATTTCTCGCGTATAATTTTTCGCTCAAAAAGAACATTCAATAATTCAAATTCAATTTAAAAAAATCAATGATTTAAGTCTAACAATTTCAATTAAAAAATGTCAATCATTCAATTATATACATATATTTTGTATATAGGAAAATAGAATAGCAATTCAAGTTCAATAAAAAAAATCAATTATTCAAGTCTAACAATTTCAATTAAAAAATGTCAATCATTCAATTATATACATATATTTTTTATATAGGAAAATAGAATAGCAATTCAAGTTCAATAAAAAAAAATCAATTATTCAAGTCTAACAATTTCAATTAAAAAATGTAAATTATTCAATTATATATATAATTTTTATATAAGAAAATAGAATAGCAATCACACAAAATAAGAAAAAAAAATCTAACTGTAAATAAACTTTAAATTAAAAATTTTTCAATTTAATTCTTGAAACATATAACATTGAAATGCATCATGAATATTTTTGGCGTAATTTTTCTCTCAACAAGAAACTGAAGAAAATGAAGAGGACTCGACTACAAAGTCACATCACATGAGAAGCAACACATTAACATTCAGCTTTTATTTTCTAAAAAAAAACTATTGTTCTCGAAAATCTCGAATGCGACGCAGAATCACGTTTCGAGAGCAGAGGGGGGCCTCGAAAAAAGAAGAAAAAGCACGCACGAACGCAACGAACAACAGCGTGTTGTTTATGCGTGACGAACGCAAAAGGGAATTTCGCTCGCAGAATGAATGGAAAACGACGACGGGCGGCCATCGGCGCCTTCTACAATTTACTCGACTAAGGTATGCGACTTTGTACGCGAAACGTCACGTATGCAAGTACCTGAGGAGCTTTCGAAAAAAATTCCAGAGTAACCCGACCGCGTTTTTTTTTCTTCAAAACCAAGAGAAAGACATTCGCAAGGTGGAAGCGCGAGGATCGCGAGGTTGGGTCGTCTGGAGAGTCGAGAAGATTGGGAGGGAGGGAGGGAGGGGGAAGAGGAGCGACAAGGACGAACGTACGCGACAGTTAGAAAGAGAGAGAGAGAGAGAGAGAGAAAGAGAAGAGACTCACCCAGAGCTCCGTGCCCCAGCTCATGTTTGCTGGGCCGGGTAAAGCGCGAAATAATGATCCCTGGGACACTTCACATGTAGCGGCGCTCTCCTCAGCCTATATTATATCGCGTCGCACCCACTCGTATATCGTATAAATCCAGGGGTGGAGAGGAGGAACGCGCGCGTTTTATAATCGCACGCACACACAAACACTCGAGGGACGACGTCGCGCGTCGAGAAAAACTCGCTCGCCACGCGCGCACGTATTTTCTCACACGGGATTCGACTTCGACAACATGTCGCCGCTCGCTCCCGTGACCGCCGACTACCTGCCTCTTCGCTTCCGTTGCCACCACTACCGCCCAGGGACACCGAGACTGACCCAGCAGCGCCCGAAAACCGCCCGGAATCGCCGCAAGTGGCGCCCTCTGCCGGCCGCGAGCGGCGAAGCGCCGAGTGATAACGGCGCAGGCGCGAGGCGCCGATGACGTCAGCGCGCACGCGCGAGCGCGGCGCGCGAAGTTCGAATCGGAATGCTCAAAATATACTTATTCGAAAATTATTTGAAATTTTATTATTGTGAGACGATAATTTATGGTTCATTATTTTATTTATTAGAATGTTTTTATTGTAAGAACGATAATTTGATCCTTGTTTTAAAATTCTTAAAGAATGATTTATATACAAACAAATTCAATATAATTTTTTTTGTAATTTGTCAAAAATTTTATTTATTTAAAAAATTTCAACAAAATTAAATTTTTTAAAAATATTATATAATTCATATATTTAATATATTATATAATTTTTATATAATATTAAATATAATAAATGTATATAATATTATATAATTTTTAAAATATTATATAATTTATATATTTAATATTTTTATAATTTTTATATAATATGAAATAACATTTCTTATATATTATAAAATTTTTTAATATCATATAATTTAGCACAAAAAATGGGCGAGCGAGAGGGGCATAAATATGATTTAAAATAATCGATTTGACGTTTGCGAACAATATGGCGTAGGGTGACTCGGGTGAGGTATCAAAGGTCGTCGGAATGGATTCGTCGGGAGGATGGATGGATGATTAATCTTTATTCTCAATTTGCTTCATTACCTTCGCACGTTTCGTATGTTCTCAGTCGTGATATACATTCTGCCTTTGAATATATTTTTCGCCGAAGTGGGGGACATGAAGTGCCCACTATGGAGGTTGTGTTATTTATTATCTCTTGATATATAAGTACATATTCTTTTTCTATTAGTAAAATAATGAGTTTCTGTCGACTCTGAGAAAGAGAGGATCTTTCAAGTGCTACTTACATAATGTAATGCATTTACATATAATTGTATTACATTTTAATAATTTTAAGAATTTACAATTCTAAATGTATTTTTGACAATTGGGAAACAAAGTGTCAAATTTGTGAATTCTGAAGACAGTTTATTAATATTTCTTTTCGTCTTTAAAGAGACAAAATTAATACATTAAGCTGAAGGAATTTTAAAATAAATATATTAGTGTGATAGTAATTCTACAGGTACAGTAATTCTACAAGTAAATAAAGAACTGTTTTTATCTTTGACATTTACCTTATTTTGGATTATATATATATATATATATATATATATATATATATATATATAATTTTTATCTTTTTTGAAGGATGAAAAATATTAATAATCCATTTTGATAATATCGATAAGAATACTCTTTAAAAAGAATCATTATGATAAAAGATAATAGCAATTTTAGGTTAATAATTTCTTTGTTTCCTGTTTATTAAAAATATGATTATATATGCACAGAAATATATAAATTATATATGTACTTATGAAAATGAGTATTAAATTTATTCTTTTAATATAAATGTATTATCATATTTGATATGCGCTGACAATAAAATATATTTTGAAAATGTAATAATGCAGGAATATAAAAGGTGTCTCAAATTTGTATATTCTGTAGAGAAAGTTTATATTTTTTGCATTAAAAACGTTAGAATATAGTAGACTAATTCATAAGTGAACAAAATGTTAATCAGAGAACTGTCATTCTTATGTCTTGATTTATTTTATTCTGGATATTATATCTTTTAATTATTTATTTTTAAGGATGAAAAAGATTAATAACCTAGTTTTATTAATATCAATAAGAATGCTCTCTCTTAAAAAAAAAGAATTATGATGAAAAATTAATTAGTATTTTTAGTTGATTTTCTTTCCTGTTTATAATACTTGAAAACTTATATATGCAGAACAATATAAATTACATACTTATGAAAATGAATATTAAATATTGTTTTATTTTATTATATTTAATGTGCACTAACAATAAAATATATCAATTGCAGGTGGTAGAGTTATTTAATAAGTTCAATGAGAGTCTAGGGTCATACATATTTTCAAGATGGATTGGAAGATTTATAGAAGAATATCAAACGTCAAGAACAATTTTTGTCATCGCCACAACTCTGCTGCTCACTTTCTTAGTTGTATCAATCTTTGTGTTGCGCAAATGGAAGAACAAGGAATTTCTGCCGGAAGTGAAAGAGTTTGTTGGAGTGGGCTCCGGGAAGCCAAGATTCAGGAAGAGAGACAAGGTTCTCTTTTATGGCAGGAAAATGTTGCGCAAAGTGAAGTCCATCGGTGGTCAAGTACATTCTACTGGACAGGGAAAGAAGAGGAGAGCGGTCATGAGATTTGCTCGTCGATTATTACAACTTAAGAAGGAAACCGCTCCGCAACAGCTCAAAGTATGTTTCATACAGTTTAAAACTCTCTAATAAGTATGTTATATAATATAATTTATTAATATACAGTATAATATTATAATATATTATGATATATTATAATTTAATATATTAATAATAAAAATTTTATTTAATCAAATTGTTTAATTTTTAAGGTATTGGAACCACCTGCTGAATATTTGGAAGAAGACTTAGGACCCGGCGAGAGGGTACCGCCAGATGCTCTATATATGTTGCAAAGTATTAGAGTGTTTGGCCATTTTGAAAAACCAGTGTTTCTGAAGTTGTGCAAGTACACGGAAATCATGAATTTACCCGCCGGCAGTACATTGTTTAAAATTGGAGATCCCGATGAGAATTTATTTATAGTACAACAAGGTTTAGTCAATGTATATATTACTGGATCCGATGGCTCTCAAATATCTTTAAAGATAGTGAAAACAGGAGAATCTGTTACCAGTCTTCTTAGTTTCACTGATGTACTTACCGGTCATACAAGTACATACAAAACTGTATCTGCAAGAGCTGTGGAAGATTCTATCGTAGTAAAGTTACCAATGTGCGCATTCCAAGAAGTAAGTTATGTATTTATACAAATATATGTATTTATAATTATATAATTCTTCTCATATTTATATATTATTATATATACATTTATATATTTATAGTATATATTTAAATTACATATTAATTATTATATATATTATTATATATACGTATTTAATATGTAATATATTTATATATTAAGTATATAATATATATTATATATTTATTATGTTTATATAATATAATATCAAAAAGATATACATATATTTTTTGATTTATAAAATATAAATAAATATTGAACGAATTTATATTATATATCGCCAGTGAGAAATTAAATATGAACAGTTAATTTATTGACCCAAAACTAGCTTATTTTATTACGTGAAAAAGTTACAACGTTTCGATCACTGCTTGTGATCCTTTTCAAGTAAACTGAAAAATACATTGTTAAATTGAATTAAAGGAATGCAAACAAAATTTAATTATAAAATCATAAATTCTAACTCACATCAAAGCGGGCGAATTGATGGTAATCGCTCACGTCTCACATTATTCTGTGAAGCGTCTATATTCAAACGGTGTTCAGTTTATAATGATATATCGATAATAAAAAGGTAAAAAGACAAAAAGTCAAGCGAATAAACAAACGCAAAAACAACAACTTAAAGTACAAGCAAGCTATCATATACCGAATTTAAATGCTCTGTCTTTTTGTAAATTAATCGTATTTTTCGTTTTCTTAATATAAAACATTTCCGCCACCTCTCTCTTACGCAATTGTTTTTCTTTGTACAAAATAACAGAATTCTTCCAGTCAAAATCATGGTATTCCGTGAGACGATGATCTGTGATAACAGAATAGTTATCATCTTGAGAGCCATTAATATTTCGTTCATGCTCCTTCATTCTAACATGTAAATGGCATTTTGTTTGTCCGATATAAGACGGTATCACAATCTCTACAGTTAATTTGATAAACCAATTCTGTGTGTTTCTCGTGATTTAGCTTATCTTTCCCAATTCCGATAATGCAATTCAGTTTTTTCGGTATAGTGAAGAGTACCTGGAGACCCAATTTTTCCAAAATGAGACGTATGTTGTCACTAACTTTCTTAACAAACGGAATCAGAACAAAATTACCATCCTTGTATCTCTGCTGTACATCCCTAGTTCTATCTATATTACTATAGATGATTCCATTTAACCGTTTATTAATATAATATTTAATTAAATTAGGAGGATCATCGTCTCACGGAATACCATGATTTTGACTGGAAGAATTCTGTTATTTTGTATAAAGAAAAACAATTGCGTAAGAGAGAGGTGGCGGAAATGTTTTATATTAAGAAAACGAAAAATACGATTAATTTACAAAAAGACACAGAGCATTTAAATTTGGTATATGATAGCTTGCTTGTACTTTAAGTTGTTGTTTTTGCGTGTGTTTATTCGCTTGACTTTTTGTCTTTTTACCTTTTTATTATCGATATGTCATCATAAACTGAACACCGTTTGAATATAGACGCTTCACAGAATAATGTGAGACGTGAGCGATTACCATGAATTCGCCCGCTTTGATGTAAATTAGAATTTATGATTTTATAATTAAGTTTTGTTTGCATTCCTTTAATTCAATTTAACAATGTATTTTTCAGTTTACTTGAAAAGGATCACAAGCAGTGATCGAAACGTTGTAACTTTTTTCACGTAATAAAATAAGCCAGTTTTGGTCAATAAATTAACTGTTCATAAATAAATATATATGTAGTATTTTATTATATTATATTATTTATTATATATATATATATATATATATATATATATATATATATATGTGATTATTGACGATGTTACAGGTATTTCAAGATTATCCTGATGCCTTTGTTCGAGTCATCCAAGTCATTATGGTACGTCTGCAGAGAGTCACCTTCACTGCGTTGCACCAATATCTTGGTCTTTCCGCGGAATTAGTCAATCAGGGATCACACAAGAAGAAACAGAGTCCATTCTCCGGCTCGCCAGTACGATCAAGGACCAGAGAGAATTTTGCTTTGCAGAACGAAGGCACTCCTGGTGCATTTCCGATCGGGACGTCGGAGATGCACGATAGCAGTGATTTTTCTCATCGCGACATGCTTAATACAAGTAGTTCTCAGCCTGTGCCGATCCTTGGAAATCGTCGGTGAGAAATTTTTTAAAACAATCTTTTTTAATCGACATCACAAATAGATTAAGCGAGTTTTATGAATATTTTTGTCTTTATTATTATATATTTAATAATTTTTATTATTATATATTTTAATAATTTTTATTATATATATATTTTATTATACATTTTATTATAGTAATTTTTATTATATATTTAATAATTTTTTGTCATTAATTACACTTATTACTGTTGGCAGAAGAAAAAATAGTGCCGACTCGAAGAATCAGAATTTGAACATGCAATTGAGTCAGAATTTGGCGGACATGGTGCCAGAGTGCGACTCTCACTGGCCAGTTCCGTCTTCATCAGCGTCCCAGCCGGGTCTCAGCCTCTTCACGGATCGCATACGGAGGCTCTTCATTCGGGAAGTATTTACCACGGTAAAAAGCGATCGTCCAACGAGGGGGCACAGCAACAGCAGCAACAATTGGACGAAGCGCAGCTCGTGCAGATAGCCACCGATGCGTTTGTCCGTGAACTCGGCATAGAGGACGAGACGGTGCTCAAAGACAAAGTGCAGATCAGAGAAGTACCGGCTGGCTTTTATCTAATGAAAGAAGAATCTCACAAGGTTTGTCATTTTGAATTTCAGAGGAAAAGAACTTGATAATTTTGAATTTTGAACTTTATTCCAAGGTTATTTTTCATTTAAAGGTTATTTGAAGGTCAACATAGATTTTTTTAAATAGAACCACCCTAAGTTTTTTATTAAATAGATTCCTCGGAATATTTAGTATAAAAAGTTATATAAGAGAGTATTGAATTTTAACCAAGGTCATTTTAAAGTTAATAATTTTTTAAAATAAACTTACATTAATTTTTTTTACATAAATCGATTCTGGTAATATTTATGGTTAAAAAGTTACATAAGATTATGATTCCAAAAAGTGAATAATTACAAGATATTTAAATTTGACATAATTTTACATTAAATTATCTCGTAAAATATTCATTGTTTGACTTTATCTCAACTACTTTTATATATTAAATAATGGGAGCAATCGATTAATGTAAAGTACACAGTTAAGAAAAAATATATAACTACTAGTTGCAAAATTACATATTTATGGGTTTTTATTCTACATAGGACGTCGCACTTGTGTACGTACTTTCGGGTTCGCTGATAGTAAGTCAACGCGTATCGGAGGGTCGGGACGCAGGTCAAGAGGTGCACATGTTCAGCGCTCATCAGGGCGAAATCGTCGGTGGGTTAGCGCTGGTACTGACTGGCGAACCATCCTTTTTACACGATCAGAGCGAAGCACCCCAGCCGCATTGCGCTACTCAGCAAATCAACGTTCTTCGCCATCATGCGAGATCAACCTACGGTTGTGCTACACGTGGGCGCAAACCGTCGTTCGCAGATTAAGTCCGTTTGTCAGACAAGTAAGGAATATCTAAAAAAAAAAAAAATTTTTTTTGTTTATAAGAAAACGAAGATTTGAAGCATGAATGCTATGTTTTTTTTTTATTTTTTAATAGGTGGATTTTGCTCTCGACTGGTTGTTTCTTCAAAGCGGTAGGCGTTTATAGACAAGGGGATGAATCGGATTCAACGTTCATAGTGTTGAGCGGACGACTGCGATCGGTGATCACTTACAAAAATGGCAAGAAGGAAACGGTTAGCGGAATATGGAAAGGCGACTTTGGTAGGAATCGTA